AATCTCATGTTTTTAAAACATTTCCCTAAGCCTACAATAAGAAAATGTGTGACTGTTTCATCCTCGGCCACTTGTCATTGAGACAGTACCCAGAGTCTGATGATGCCAGTTGTGGCCTGTGGGCACAGCTGCAGGCTCCTTTATCAGTGCCATCCCAGGGGCTGTGAAATTCCTCAAATAAATGGACAGGCATCTCTTCAGAATTGGTTGGTCAATAAGATAATTCAGGAAAACTGAAATTGCTATAGATTATACATGCAAGGCCTTTGACAGAGACTCACGCATGGATGGGAATTGTCTATAGCCAGCCTCCAAGTCCCTCGCCCGTCTGTGTGTGCACAAAAGACAAAAGCAATCACAGAAGCATCTGGTTAAAAGCTCTGCAGCTCCAACAGCTGCAGGGACCTGGGAATTGTGCAAATGGTACAGAAGGCCTCCCAGCAAGAGATGCTCGAGAAGCATGTGGGCACCTAATGAAAACACTTCCTTTATTTAGATCGTCTACACACACAGCCCTGATTTCTGGTTCATTAGTGGTTATAATCTCTGTCTTGGCTGACTTAACTGTGGAAACTTTCAAGGCTAGAAAATGACCTCCAAGAGAGAATGAACAACAGCAACATTAAAATGTAAACTCGATGTGACAACTATTTACTGGGCATGTGCCGTGTGGCCAGTGTCACAGAACTACGTGCAAGGAGACACAAAGATGAATGAGATGAGCCTGTCTACAAGGACCTTACCAGCTAGTCGTATGGAGATAAAATACACATCTCTCCTGTCCTTAGATGTAAGAGACTTAGTCACACACATCTATACTGTAATTTATGTTTAATCCAACATAACCTTTAATTTCCATCACATCTTTGGGAGAGCTAGAGCAGGGATGGTTTTTCTCATTTTCACAAGAGGAAACTAACACCCAAAGAGGCTGAGAGACCAGCCCAGTGCCCCTCAGGAGCTGTGGTGGCAGGGCTGGAATAAGAACACCAGGCGCGGTGGCTCACGCTGGTAATCCCAGCACTGTGGGAGGCTGAGGCAGGAGGATCACTTGAGACCAGGAATTTGAGACCTGTCTGGTCTTCAACATAGTGAGACTCTGCTTCTAAAACAAACAAACAGACAAAAACCCACACAGGCCCCCCTGACTCTGGGCTGCTGCAACGTCTGCTGATCCACACACAAGGTGCATGGGGGAGAAACCCAGCTTGGTCCTGTGGCTTCACCGTAACCTCACGCGGCAACAGTGAGTGAGGAGGTATAACAAAACGAGGAGCAGCCAGGCCAGAACGTATCAACAAATGAAGACTTTTAGAACCTGAAAAAAATGGAACATTCTAGCCTCACCAAATATTAACTAAAGAAAGGGCTAGAAGGTTCCAGGAGAAGAAATGCAATTTCAGCAGCACGCGAGGGTAGAGAGTTGGAAGGTGATATCCTAGGAACTCTTATTTCTCCAGAAAACCATCTCCCCACTCCCCACCCCATCCCCAATTCCTCTATGACTTGGTATTTCTCCTGAATAAAGTTCAGGGTAGTATCTGCCAGTAGTAGTTACCCTTTTTGAGAAATGAGAAATAAATACATGCCTATTTGTGGTAGACTTGATTCTCTAGATTATTCAGGGACAAATCTACATTATGGTCCTTCACTGTAGCTTTTCTGTTTCTATAAATTGAAGTGGTGTCCTTGGGTAGTCTGCCATGTGAGAAAAAATGCAACCTGCAGCTCAGGTCCCGGGGAAAGGTCGTAGTTT